ATAGAGTTGATTTTCACTCTGGGAATCAAATTGCGTACTATTCGCTTTAAATACTCTTTTGTTTTTCATCGAGCTACTAAATTCAGATAGCCAATGGCTTGTGCAATAAAGTGAATTTTAATTTATTTGTATTGGTTGTTTGAATTTTTCCATTGACGTGTAAAACTGCAATTGATCAGTCTCCTTTTTAGGCATGTGTACATTTTGAGTAGATAACGTCACAAACATTAAGACTCAGCAGATAAGTGGATAATATGAAGGTATTTGGAGCGAACTGTACTAGATTCGAGTCTGGGAATAAACAAGTACATCCAACTTACGAGTTCTAAACTAAATGAAACAAGAGTTCTGAATTCCGTAGCTATCCACCATTCAACACTGCTTATAATACTTGTGAACTAATGGTAAAATTGAGGCAATTCGCACGGGATACCTATATGACAAAAGAGACTGATCAATTGCAGTTCGAAACATCAATGAGAACATTTAAACAACTAATACAAACGAAATAACTTTGTACTGTATAAGATAAATATGTTTAGTATTCATTTTAGAATAATATAAGCTTTGATTGTCAGGAAATTATATATTGTTAAAAATGATATTCTATTGAATTGATTAGTCAGAATTAGCACAAAACACAGCACTTCAAATAATCTGCATATAAATTAGTACAGTGAAAACTGAAGAAAGGTATGGAATATTTTATGTGAATGAAAAGTGATTTATCCCATTTTGATAAGCTTATTTTACTAATACAGGTACATCCAGCTGATGAGTTCCAAATAGGACGAAACGCGCGTCCTTGATTCCACTGGTAGCTACTATGCATCTTTGCTTAAGAAGCTTGTGACTTAAGGTTACATCAAGGCAATCCGCATGGGATGCACATATGCCAACAAGAGACTAATCAATTGCAGTCCTAAATAACACTGCCAAGATACAGGTAAACAACACCAAGTGAATATAAATTCACCCCATTGCACAAGCTAATGGCTATCAGGAATCAGTAGCTAAGTGGATAACGCGATAGATTCTGAAGCGAATGGTACTGGGTTCGAGTCCCAGAGTTAACATTAACTCTGAGATGCAGGTATATACAGCTGACGAGTCCCAAATAAATAGTTGTTTTTCTTATAAATGGCCATTTTATCATAGTATAGATAGCATAGATTACACTATATTTTTAACGAAACTGCATTAAGACGCGTATCGATTTTAGTACTTTGATTGATTGACTGAATAATAGTCATGAATTCATTTGTCAGAATAAACATCAACACGATACGATCAGAATGTATGACGTTGACAACTTCTGAACTCTATCATTTATTTGTACCGACTTTCACCGAATTAAAAATATACAGACTGTATATTTATAGGAAATTAATATTATAAATGAGACCGATTATCATACGAAAAGTACAAACCTTCAAAAAGAAACAAACATTATTTCATACAAGTCTTATATTGTTTATAGTTAGTTACAAGATTGTATAGGAAAATAAAGATTATTATAAAAAGGGAACCTGGGTTTACAATATAAGTAATATGAATAAATTTAATTCAAATCCTATTTCCTTTATCTGATAAACATTAAAAAACAATTTTAAATGTAATTTTAGGTATGTATATAGATTACTAGATTAAAATTGATTGATCACTGGGTGGTGATCAATGTCATACGTGTCAAGTCCTTATTTAGTGAAGATCGAATGCTATCGACCATGTTGCAATGTGGCCATCAGTCTAGGTGACTTGATACAATGAAGCTGGGTGACACGGGATCGAATCCGCTAGGGAGCACCAGGTCCCTCAAGATTAAAGGTACACCTTGCTGACGAGTGCCAAGTTGCACAAAACCCGGGTCCAGGGTTTCCTGTCGACTACCTCCAACCACCATCTAATATCAAGATTACTAGATTTGATAGTGAGTAGTATTGAATGATTAGATTTGAAAGCTCAATTCTATATAAACTAAGTCATATTAAACACCAATAATTTAAAATCAATAATTTATGATTATAAGTTTTATCTTGTTATAGTAAAGTTGGTGAAACTATAATTTATGGACAACCTTTGAGCAACGCCAAAGTGACTTTGAGAGTATCTACTTACTTAATAAGATTGAATGAAGGTTATAAAGAAGTTTGAAGAATAAAGACAATGATGGTTTAGGATTTGGATTTATGGTTTTCATCACCAAATGACATCAGCTAAAATGTCAAGATGCTATTTAGATGAATGGGTGAGTGAATTTCACGCCAAAATCCAAAACCTGTTATCCTCAATGTGATTGATTCGTCCATAAATTATAGTTTCACCGTATATATTACTATTGCAGAATCCTCATATTATTTATTTGTAGATAATGTACAAATTACATAATACTTGTTATTTATTGTAATATAACTTAATAATGTAATCAGGAGTTTTGTGGACGGCCGTTTCGTCTTAGTATGGGACTCCTCAGCAGTGCGCATCTAAGACCTTGCCCCCCTGCGAGATTCGAACCCAGGACCTACTGGTTTCGCGCGCGAGCACTTAGCCACTAGACCACTGAGCCAGCATTCATTAGGTCCTGGGTTCAAATCTCGCACGGGGCGAGGTCTTAGATGTGCACTGCTGAGGAGTCCCATACTAAGACGAAACGGCCGTCCAGTGCTTCCAGGTTTTCCATAGTTGTCTAGCTTCAATTGACTCATGATTTCAACCAGTGAAATAATGTAATGTCTGAAATTTTATTGTCTGGTACAAATATGAACCCATGCTGACATTTTTGTTTATACAGAAGGTTCATGTAGTAAAAATAAATGAAATTGTACAGGTATCATTAACAAGGTTAGATTTGATGTTTTCAAATAAATTAGATAGAACGCTAATAATAAAATTATGGTACCTCTGTAATATTCTATGAAGTAGAAATTAGAATTTCTGATATTTCATAACTTATTGTAAGCCACTCCTTCAAAATAAATAAATAAATAAATAACATGATTACATTTACACAAGCTCTAGTGACATTGATATACATGACAGAATATTTACTTTAATCAAAATCGAAATAGACTTGATCATGTCGATATTATGCCAGTTTTCGTCGACGTGACATTACTATATGTCATTGTGCGTTTGTAAAGTATGAAATTTGTAATAGAATATAGTTGAGACTTGTGTGTGTATATGTAGTGTAAGAAATGAGTAGATTTACATATGCTTATTTAGATATACCGTCCAAATTGTATAGATAGGCTTTCCTATCTATTGAGACTAGAAGGATTTAGCACGGAATGAAACGATTCAACTGCTAGCTTTCTTATATAATTAGTAAAACCTTTCTGAATTATTTTGATATTTTTTTAAAATATTGATTTGATTGTTGCTAAAAGTTGTATATAATGCTATTGCCAATCTAATTTATAGATTTTCCGTTCCTCTGGGAGAATTTTTAGTGTAGTTTATGTATTACTAGATACTAATTCAAATTTCACGAAAAGATTCTCTAGTATAGAAAACAATTCTGTAAAGATCTGTATAGGGTCATCTTTTTTACTTGAACTAAATCATTTCCAAAAGTGTTAGTTGTTAAGTAAAGACCTAAATTATGTATAGTTTCAAGATACATTGCAATTCTTTTATCATACTATGACAATAAGCTAAAACTACTGAAAAGATTTAAAATCAGTGAAAAATTTTTCTTTACCTTAAATCAATGTTCAGGATTGAAGACAATGTATTGATTTGAATATACTAGGCATAAGGTAAATGGTTAAGTTTTGATTTCTGTTAAAACTTCTATTTTGAAAGTGAACTTGATATAGTCTGAGAATGTAGTTGTCATACATTTTATGCAAACAATTTGTAAACAATACCAAGTGAATTAAAACTTCACCACATTGCATAAGTGAGTGGCTATCAGGACTCAGTAGCTAAGTGGATAACGCGATGGCGTTTGAAGCGGACGGTACTGAGTTCGAGTCCCAGAGTGGGCATCAACTCTGAGATGCAGATACATCCAGATGACGAGTCCTAAATGGGACGAAACGCGCATCCTGGATTCCACTGCTAGCCACTATCCATCTTTGCTTATAATTTGTAAACAAGTTTTTTTGATATTTTTTTTAATATTTTCATGGTGATAATTTATTGTTATTATTGTTTAATATATTTCGAAAAAGGAGATTGTTATTGCTAATTGTATAGAAAGAGTACTGTAGTTCTGGTCTTTGATTTTATTATTTCCATGCTACATATTCATATTGATATATGCATTTGTTTGATAATGAATAAAGACTGGTATTAAGTGATAGAAACAATTAGGAGGAAACCAGTTAAAAGGAACTCTGTTAACACTTTTAAATTTTAAATAGTTTATACATATTAGGGTTGAAGTTTATATCATTGACTTTACTAGATAAAGATAATATAAGTGACCCAATTACTCTGTTTTATGAGCACACTGTGATAATGAATACAAAAGGGAATATTATTGTCATGTTCGACACCTTTTGAGTAATTGATGTTACTACTTATTTTTTTGTTTTATCTTCCATAGGTGAATCAGTAAAGTGAATACTTAATGTAGTGTTTAAAGAACTGTTTTGTGAATATTAGTGTCCGTTGAAGTTGAATAATCATCTACAGTAACTCATTGTAATCCGGTAAGAGGAATCGTCAATACTTCTAGGCATATCATTATATTTGATGGTTTAGCAAACGTCAGTTGATTACATTGATAGCCTCTTAATTTTGAATTTTAAAAGGCTTTATGTATGTTTTAGGTTTGAAAGTTAAATTATCTGATGTGCTTGAGATTAAATATACTCCTAAATATATGTGTACACTATGTACAAAGTGACAACTATCTTGCAAAATAGTCATTACTTGAAATAGGATAATCTATTTTTATTACATAATTAATAGGACTTATTCCTTAATGAATAAATTAAATGAATAAGTGAAATATTACAAAATCCAAACAACTTTTTCTTAAAACATACCTTGAAATTCTTTTTGAGCAGCACTAACATTTGTAACAATATTGCTAACATGTCCAAGAACAGTTGCCATTAGAAACATTCCAATAACACCTTCACAAATTAAATAAAAATAGGCTATAGGACATTTTGGTGTTGGAAATCCACCAACAGGAAATAAACTTAACATACTCCAATAAAATGCATGTAAATATTCATATCCATCGTGATGATCTGGAGTTAATTGTATTGTATTTGGGGACATTGTTATTAGAGAACTTACATCAGTATTAGTGAGTTTTACTGAAGCTGATGTTGCTGTCGAAAAAATGGTTTCATTATCAATATTACTTAATGAATGATTACTTCCTAGTAGTAAGGAACTACCATTATTTATAACGTTTTCACTGAGATTACTACGGTTGCTGGTATGATTAATGTTTTGGTTATTATTATTACGATGACTATTATTAATATTGGTAGTATGATGGTTAGTGTGGGTAGCGCTTAAGTTTGGAATGTTTGTTCTTGATCCGTCAATTATAGTTGTTCCTGAGGTTGGCGACTGCGTCAAAGATGTCATGAACAAGGTGTCCGCAGTTGAGTTAATCAGCTGAAAAACGCATGCATTCCAATGTAGGAATGTTAAATAATACAACAGTAATTTAGTTGATCGCATTAAATTAGGATAATTTGTATGTCGTTCAGCTCTATCCATAAATTGCCAAAATTTGTACACTTTACACAATCGGAATATACGTAAAATAGATTTAAAACCAATGGATAAATATAAAAAGTCCAGTGGAAGTAAACTTAAACAATCGATATAAAAACGTGATGAATTTAGGTAGTGTGAACGCATTTTCATTCCATCAAATTGCATAACACCATCTTCTAGGAAACCGGTTCTTAATGATATAGTCATATCAATTAAATATAACAAATCAGCAAAATAATCTAAAGTTAACCAGAATATAACTGTTTGTTGATTGATCTCATTAAATGCAAATCTATAGATAATAACCCACAAATGATACATAAATACAATGCTGATAACACCACACCATGAATGAACTATACGTCCAGACGGATTAAAATAGAGTAATGCACTATTCCAATTAGATTTTCGTAGCTTTTGGGATTTGTTCTGTAGTGATGATGGAGTTCCAGATATACTAGTCTTATTGATCCCTTGAATCATGTCATGTTTCTCTTTAGGATCAGAATAAGAATATGGTCCATTGTACAATAATGGGACATTTGGTTGTGTATTTGAATAGTTTTCGCCTGATAATCGTTGACGTATGTGATTTTGCTTTTCATACGTTGTTATATTTTCATCAGTTTTATCTTCTTTGCATATAAACCAGTTGGACTGTTTAGAATTATCCAGTGTGATTACCGAATCATCAGATGTGCTGACATGTGTATCATCCATTGTAAACTGTAATTTTTTCCAATCAAAGTGGATAGTATTCTTACATTTGTAACTCTTTTTTCATTCATAAACCGCTGAATTCTTTACAGTTTAAATTTGAAGCTAATTGCAATTACTGGCTAAACGATTTATGATAAAATGAATAACCACACTAAAATAATACAGAAAGCTGGGAACTAGTTGTGTTTTGTTTCTTTTAAAATCACTGAAATTTTAAACCAATCGTTTTTGTTCGGTCATCCTGGAAATAAACTTACTGTGACGTGATTGGTTCACATTTCAGCTAATCAAAATAGTCAATAATTCAACCATAGTCTTAACTTCATTATTCATCAATTGATTTTGGTCATTTGCTTATGGAATGTTGAATTTCATTGAAATCATGAACTAATCTCAGTTAGACCACCGTTGAAAACTTGGAAACACCGAACTCCCGTTTCATCCAAGTATGTGTACTTGGTTTTTTTGTTGTTGTAAAAAAATGCAATCATGCAATGATATTACATTTTCTCAAGGAATTCCGATCATTGCTATAATTATTTCTACTCACAAAAGTTACATAAATATAAGTGTACTAAATTTTTACGTAAACAATTTATCCATGTAGGCATAAGAATATGGTCTTAAAGGATTATCTAGTGGTTACTTCTATCTATGAAAAAGAATAGTTAAATATTACCTGTTTACTATTTAGAGGGGTGCAATTGAAACCAACCATTTCGATAAAGTTCATCTGCATCAAAGTTTCACTTTTGAAAAGGGTTATGACTACAATTTAATATATACTTTTTGTGTGATCTGTATGAAATTGTAACTAAGCACATCAGGAAAAAGAACGATATTTCGTTCATGATACTGTTGTTATCATTACAGTCCAAAAAATTATTGAATATTCATTGAAAATGATATACTCCACAATGTAGAACAAAGCAGTGACACCAATTATATTAGAATTAATAGAGAAGTAAGTAATAAATTGAAAACATAAGTAGAACTTTATAGGGTTTGTCATAATATGAGGTATTTGAGATTTTAATATGAATGTATCAATAACATTTAAAAAGGTTTAGAAGCAATACATCTTAAAGTCTCTAAATATTGATGACAATGAGCTTGATGAATCCAAACAGGTATTTTGGACAACTTTATCTGATTGAAATAAAAATTACTAACTTTTTCGATTGATGTTATTCATTTGTTTGATCATGTGAATCAACGTAACAATCTAGGTTTAATACTATTTCAGCATGAGTAATATATAAACTGACAAAGTCTATACATTTTCACAAGTTTATCAAAATGATTGGGTACACTTATTTTTTGTATCTTAGATATAATAACAGCAAAATTACGTGAGAAACGCCTTGAAGACATTTATAATCTACTTTGTAGAGTCTATTCATTTATGTTACTTATAAAAAAATCCTTCAGACAATAAGAAAATATCCAGAATAATTTTCCATTGATGAATCAATGGATCCAGATGATCAAAAGTCAGGGAACTTATACTACCTTCATGAATACATGGATTTTACCAGGGTGAAACGACTTTCAGGATAAATGATGTCACATAATTACTCTACTGTTTAAACATATATGCAAGAATAGAAGCATGCGAGACTAAATTAGAATCACTATTTACAACTGGAACGTAAGTGATACGTCACAAGCGAGCTCTCAGTAAGTTATTCATGTCTTCAATTAATAGGGATTCGCCGTTTCCACGAATTCCAACCAGTTGTTCAGTCGTTAAAAGCTTCTATGAGTAAACATTTACACTTTAGAAGCACACTTCAACATAATTAAATAAAAAATTTCTGATGAGGACACCACTAATGAATACTATCGTAGATTATCGTCAAATTCAGTCCTTGGGGTAGTCAAGTAAATGACTCCCAGTAGAGTGATGTAAATATTTATAACACTCTTTAGTAATACATTTTATTCATATAACTTCTATAACAGTTGAAACTAGTTTTTTTGTCAGGGAAAGCGTCTAAAGCCTGAAGATGAGTTTATACATGTTAAATGTAAACTTACATGAGAACTCTTGGTATATACCGAAATGTATTTATTCTTAGACTTTCTTATTCTTTTTTTAATAACATATATTTTTGTTTATTTCGAATAGTTCGATGACCAGTAAGATATCAAATAAAATTACTTTTTATTTTCAAAATGTGAGTTACTTGAGATTGAATAGATCTAGTAATTTATATTTTTAGGTGTAAACATACTATCACTGATCATGGTTCAGTTTCATGATTCGATTATGGAAAGAACAGTATCCCATCAGTGAACCTGTTCTATGTTATCTGATGAAGATATATCCTGTGTATGAAAGGATGTGTTGACGTTAAGATAGTTGAATGTTAAAAAACCGATTGAAACAAATTAAACCATATATATATATATATAGCTATCCGACAGATATTAACTTCTAATTAAGTTCATATCTAAAAATGGCTGAAAATTTCTATTTCAATCCGTTTAGAATATAGTTAAACTTGAAAAATCAAAATCGTTAATAAATATATAATCTGGTAGTACTGAATAACCATTTCGTTCTATTATGGGATTCCTCAGCAGTGTGTATCCATGATCCCACTGAGGAATCCCATACTAAAATGAAGCGGCTATTCAGTGCCCTCAACGTTTCAATGGTTATTCAGTTTAAATCGAATTGCAAATTGAACTTTTAAAAATGCTACAATTTCCACAAATTCCCATACTAAAAATAGATAAACATAAATAGTACAATATTACAAAAACTTAGTTACTGAAAGCACATTAATTATGAATGACATTCAAAGAGAAGATAATTACAAGGATACAATCTGTTCTTGATTAACATTTACAAAACAAGGATAATATAACAATAAAAATGAATAGAATGAGAAATGTTGTATTATGGGATAAATAGGTTTCTTTAAGACTAGACACATTTCCGAAAAAAATTATCCTTATCGATTTTCTTTAAAAATTAAAGTTTTCCCTTTTTATTACAATATAGCTTATATGATTCTGTAAATCAGATCAATATATATCGATAAAATTATCGGTAACAATCAACGTAACAATGAGGGTATTTAAGATCTGTCAATATTAAGATCATAATTATTATTGATAATGATACAGGTTTTATTTGGTTATTCGTAAATATGATCTCTTCCTTTTAAACTTTACTAAATACATGTTAACTAGATTAGATCGCATTCATTTGGAGTATTTCAATGTACTTGATTTTATTAAGATAACGTCAATTGTTACCAGCCATATTCATAAATATGTAATCGATTTTTAACGTTTCATATTTATTCGACTTTTAGAAGCATTGCAAGAACTTGAGAGCACTTTCATAATGATCTGCTTACAAAAATACGAGAAACTGTATTTGGAAAATGATTGAAACTGGAGTACATTTTTTATTCTCTTGAAAGATTAGCCATGGCTTTGTTAGATTACTGAAATAAACATAGAATCTTCCCTCGTTAAACGATTCATTCTAAATACATTTTTAGAATGATTTTGTATAATCGAGTTGTTTTATCAGTATGAGGTTGTGGAGATTTTTAAGTTTTTGATGAAGATCATGAACCGATTGAGACCGAAGGTTCTGGGTTCGAATCCCTCGAGCTGAATTGTGGATGAGCACTGCCGAGGAGTCCTACAGTAGGAAGAAACGGCTGTCCAGTGCTTCCAGGTTTTCAATGGTGGTCTAACATTAATCGGTTCATGATCTAAACCATGTTGTTTTGTTTCCTCTAAGTGATTTGATGGAATCTGTATGCAAGTTATTCAAATGTATGGAACAGAATTTATTGATTTGTTTGTAAGTTGTGACAGTGTATTATGGATGAACCATTCCTTCACCTATAATTTATTCTCTAATGCTTTAATGCATTCATTTGAGTTGATTTCATTGTGTCTCATCTAAAACAATATTGGAAATTAAGTTAATAAATTACTGTTTAGATTGGTTCAATGATCAATTTTGTTATTAGTGGTTTAGATATATGGGTGTTCCAACATAATGTACTATTCATACGAGTGGCGTCTTGTAGTGTCAGTCATCATTTTAAGCCCATGTATCTCATTCTAGCTTTTGGACATTCCATTCTATTCATTCTCCTTGAGTCATATTTTGACCTTGTCAGTTATTCGCTTATCAGTCTTGACTGTTACTATATGAGCGTATATGTGTGTACACTTCATATTCCATGACTCATCACATGTCTGTAGTTTATTTTTGTCTGACTATAAATATTGAGTAACGCTTGACTAAAATGGAGTTGGCTTCCCAGCCATCTTCCCTGCGTGTCATTTTGCTTTGCTATGTTTCATTCGCTTCATGTACAAAGTATATGCATTCACAAGTCAATTCTCGTTATTCGACTTATTTAATTCCGTTATTGACTAACGCGATTCAAGTCGACGATGATATACGAGAATAGGCAATAGCAAACATTGATACGATCTAAATGGGGTCAGATCCACGGGCTACTAAAATGGTGAGCCTTTCAACGAATATCATCGATTTAAATAAGGACAAAATCAAACCACGGGCCTCCACAGTCTATTTGCTTGAAGTGAAGCTTCAGCGAAAATAATCTGTATATCAATATATATGTAAATCATTTTTGTATTGATTGTTTGAATCTCCCCATTGATTTTTGGGACTGGAAATGATTAATCTCTTATTGGCATATGTGGATCATTTGTGGATGGCTTCCATATTCACTTAGATCACAAGCATTTGAGGCAATATCGAGGCAAACTGAACAGGATGCACATATGTCGATGCGAGGTTGACCAACTGCAGTCCTAAATATCAATCTGAAGATTTAAACATACAATACAAAATGAATTAAAACTTTACCACATTGCACAGGCTAGTGGCTATCAGGACTCAGTAGCTAAGTGGATAACATGATGACGTTTGTGGTTAATGGTACTAGCTTCGAGTCCTGGAGTAAACATCAACTCTGGGATGCAGATACATTCAGCTGACGAGTTCTAAATACAGAGAGACACTCGTTTTGAATTCTACCACTAGCTATAATCTATCTCTGCTTATATGTAAAACAATTAAGATGAAATAATTTTGAGGTAACTATTGGTGAAATTAATTGTCTAAACAAAATAAGTTTGTGAGGTTATGTATCTTAGT